AGCATTGTTGAAGTTCATCGAATGGAGGCAAGAATTAAACCTAGCTCTAGATACTCTTAGAATGAGAGAGAGAGAGAGGAATAGGCTAAATTCCTAATGTGTGTAGAACACAGGGTTATGCACTTATAGATAAGAAAATACAAAAGAAAGAGATGGGCCTAAGCCCGTTACATCTAACATACCTAGTAAGTTCTTTTCTACCTTTTGCTCCTTGAAAACTTCTTGTATTTCACTTCTTAAATATTTTGGCTGTAAAAATATAAACAAATGTTCACCTCTTGTATATCTTAATCAAAGGTTGAGATTTTATCTTCAACATGGACATAATTATGAATGAAAGAATCTCTTTATTCTAAAATAAAACGGATTTAAATTCAATAGCAAATATATTAGTTAGATTTCAAATAGAAATTTAAGATATTTATTGGTTACACACGTTCACAATTAAACACAAATGTATACACACACACACATCTACTTATATATTTTTACTTCACTTGTTTTTTATCTCTATCTATTTGATCACTAAGTCATAATGTTCTCTTTTTTCTTCTTTTCATCGCACTCTCAAGTGGCTATACAAATAAACATCATATATTTGGTTTATCATAAGCTTTGATATGAGTATTGTTAGAAAGTGGGTTTTTAAGCCTAACTCAACCCCACAAACCGGCTTGTAGNTAACTAACAGTTAACTAACCTCTCCTCCTCCTTGCATACACTCTCAACTTCCTATCACCTGCAGATTTTGGAATTGACACAAAGAAATAGACAAAAGACAAATATAAATTGGTGGAGATAACCTATGATAACTCAAACCAATACTATGGGGAGAGGGATTACGGATAAAGCATATAGATTCAAGTGTTAGAATCGGAAGGGATGCAACAATTGGCACTAGAAGATAGTCATATGGTGGACGATAGGGAGTTTGATGACCATGGTTGATAGGTTTATGAGTATGAAACCTATCTAAACACAACACTAACACACACCAAACAACAAGAAAGATAGCAAAACAGAGTATTCTGTATTAATCTCTTTAGTCTGTACAACCCAAAACCTCCAAGGGAGCCTAATTCCCCCTCCACAGGATAAAAGAGTCATGTCTATGCAATGAATGTTCAGAAACTAACTATTAGCAATGAATGTTCAAAAACTAACTATTACAAAGAATAGCCCAGCTCTTTATAAGAGATCTTTTTTCCGCCCCCTAACTGTCAAAACAGTTAGGCTTCATTAACTCTCCTTACCTCCTCATTCCCTCTTCTCTTTTTCTCATAGACTCTCCATATCCTATCAATGGTACACATAAAGAGTTAGTGGAGGCGAGGGATATGTAGGTACACTAGTCACAACAAGAGGATCACATACAACTAGGATAATGACTTGATAGATGGAGATGTAGTTGAAGGATTAGATAATTGTAGAGAGAGAAAGTACTTACCAGGAAAGAGAAACAACCCTAAAAAATAAATAAAAAATCTAGCAAACTCTAATTAAGATGAAAGTTACAAATCCCGAAAAAGAATGCAGAGACGAGTCTAACCTTGGTGGTTGTTGTGGGAAGTGACAACGGTGGCAACGAGAGTTGGGGTGGTGCATGCAGGCGTGTCACAGCTTCGACCGCCTCAATATTTGCAGCTTGGTGGTTGCTTATCTTGGACTATCACAATGGTCAAGGCACAATGGCTACAATGGTTGAAAAAGAAACTACAAACAATGCTAGAAATGACAAGAAACAATTTTCAGAAAAACATTTAGCATTGTTGAAGTTCATCGAATGGAGGCAAGAATTAAACCTAGCTCTAGATACTCTTAGAATGAGAGAGAGAGAGAGGAATAGGCTAAATTCCTAATGTGTGTAGAACACAGGGTTATGCACTTATAGATAAGAAAATACAAAAGAAAGAGATGGGCCTAAGCCCGTTACATCTAACATACCTAGTAAGTTCTTTTCTACCTTTTGCTCCTTGAAAACTTCTTGTATTTCACTTCTTAAATATTTTGGCTGTAAAAATATAAACAAATGTTCACCTCTTGTATATCTTAATCAAAGGTTGAGATTTTATCTTCAACATGGACATAATTATGAATGAAAGAATCTCTTTATTCTAAAATAAAACGGATTTAAATTCAATAGCAAATATATTAGTTAGATTTCAAATAGAAATTTAAGATATTTATTGGTTACACACGTTCACAATTAAACACAAATGTATACACACACACACATCTACTTATATATTTTTACTTCACTTGTTTTTTATCTCTATCTATTTGATCACTAAGTCATAATGTTCTCTTTTTTCTTCTTTTCATCGCACTCTCAAGTGGCTATACAAATAAACATCATATATTTGGTTTATCATAAGCTTTGATATGAGTATTGTTAGAAAGTGGGTTTTTAAGCCTAACTCAACCCCACAAACCGGCTTGTAGGGTGAGGTTCGCACCCACTTATAAACTATGAATTGGTTTTATCTCTAGTCAATGTGGGACTTCCAACACACACCCCTCATGCCAAGGTATATACATCTCGAGTGTGAGATTAGACATTTTTAATGGGTGGTCCGATAGCGGGTGGAACAATATGCCCAACAAACAACAAATATCGCTAAGATAGGCTCTAACCATGTCTCTGATACCATGTTAGAAAGTGGGCTTTTAAGCCTAACTCAACCCCACAAACCGGCTTGTATGGTGAGGTTTGCACCCACTTATAAACTATGAATTGGCATTATCTCTAGTCGATGTGGGACTTCCAACAAGTATCTATATTTTCTTTATCATGAGCTTTGATAGGATCATATATTTGGTTTATTATAAGCTTTGATATGCTTTTTAATCAATGCTTCAGAAGTTACCAAATAAGCATCTTACCTCCCTCACATATCATCATCTACCCTTTTCTTTTTAGTTGTGCTAGTGCAATATGGTATCATCTCACTTTCCAAAAAAATATTTTTTTCTACTTCTTACTATAATAGTGTCTGTGATCCTTGAAGTATTTTCAGAATTTCGTTTTGGTCCTCAAAAAAAAAAATATCAAACCTTTAATCTGATGGTAGCATGGGAAGTTAACATAGACGTAAGATAAAATACAAAAGAGTTGAGAAATTTTAGTTTTAGATCTAAAGAAAAATTAAAAATTGTGGAGGTCAAAAGCATATTTAAAGGTATTTAGAATTAAGTTGCTAGTACAAATATACAAAAAGGGGATTATTAATCTGTCTTTTTTGATCACTATAACATGTCTGAAATATATATTTTAGTCAATATCAATTTTAGAATAGTCGATCTCTTCATTTTATTCTAATAAATTTGCTTTGCTATTGGTTGACCTATTGAATTGCAAGTTATGTGTATCTGAAGTCTGTACTGGTACTTATTATTTGTTTCATATATATAAATGTTTGATTTGACAACCTTCAGTGCGCTTTCGGTTAACATGTAGTATTGCACTATGATGTTCAGCCTTCTATTTTCTGCTTCTGTCTGACTAGAGAATGGTATTTGTGCTGCAGTTACATCTGATGGAAATATCCTTGCCACTGGAAGTTATGATACAACAGTAATGGTTTGGGAAGTCTTTCGTGGTAAAACCACTGAGAAGAGAATTCGAAACAGTCAATCTGAACTAGCCCGGAAGAATCATGTCATAATTGAAACTCCATGTCACATCCTTTGTGGGCATGATGATATAATAACTTGCTTATATGTTAGTCATGAACTTGATATTATAATTAGTGGATCAAAAGATGGAACTTGTGTATTCCACACCCTGCGAGAAGGTCGATATGTTAGATCCTTACGTCATCCATCAGGCAGTCCAATAACAAAGCTTGTTGTGTCTCAGCGGGGCCAGATTGTAATTTATGCTGATGATGATCTTAGTTTGCACCTGTATTCAATCAATGGAAAATATCTTGCTGCCTCTGAATCCAATGGACGCCTTAATGCAGTTCAATTGAGCCGATGTGGTGAGTTTTTGGTAGGTGCAGGTGACCAGAGGCAAATTGTTGTTCGCTCTATGTACACCCTTGAAGTTGTTAAGAAATATCAAGGAGTTGGAAAGGTTATGACATCTCTGGCAGTAACCCCAGAAGAATGTTTCTTGGCTGGCACAAAAGATGGAAGCCTCCTAGTGTACTCGATTGAAAATCCTCAGATTCGTAAAACTAGCCACAACAAGAATACAAAATCAAAACTGACTTAACACAAAATATAGCAATAGCTTGTAGAAGGTGCATGTGGAATTTTGACAGTTAGAGCTGCCCACATGATGACTGTTTCAGGTACAGCACTGCCAATATTATGACTATTTGGTTCTTTGTTTTTCCTTTCTCCAATACTTAGTATTTGTTCTTCATTGCAGATTGCTTGATTATATCTATCAATCAAATAAAATTCTGATAGACTACTTCCCAATCATTTTAGTTATACATGATTGGCAATATGTCTATTTCCCGCTGTTCCTTACTGCAATTACTGTCATGTCATTCATTGGCAGTCGTTTCATCTGTGATATGACTGCTGCTCTATAAATTTACATTTCTGCTGCTTCTAATCTCAGCAGTATTGTTAATCGCATTTGATTTTTAAATAATCAATCTCAATTTCATATTAACCGTGTAAGAAAAACATTTATCAATTGAATTATTGTAATTGATTGTTTATTGTTTATTAGTTGTAATTAGTTAAGGAAGACTTTGTCTCAACTTGTAATTAAACTTGAAAAATCCGAAGTAACACCCATACTACTTGTAATGCACGTTTTGTATATGGTTGATGATGTTAGACAAACTGATACTGATATATAACAGAGTCTGTTATATCAGTTATGTTTTCCAGTCTTATATATTGAAAGCCTTGTATCGTAGGCTTCTTTTCTCTTCATGAATATGATTCTCTTCTTATCCTTCTCTGTGTTTTCTAACATGGTATTTATAGCTTCTTTGATCTGACCATGGCTTCCAGCTCTCGTTCTTCTTTCACTGTGTACTCCGAAAATTGTTCTGCTCTCTCTCCTTTTCTTCCTCACACCTTCAATACCCCTATATCCTAGAGTTGGATGATGACAACTTCCTTATATAGCAACAAGTTTTAGCCACTGTTCAGGGACTCAACTCACACGATTTTAGGAAGGCCAAGACGTTTCTCTGAAATTTACCACTCTTGATGATGCGCTCAACAATATTATCAATCAAGAATACAACAAGATCAGCTTTCTTTTGTTTGTCTCCTCCCTTCCATAATATAACTCTCTTCTTCTCCTTCTCTGTTTTCTAACAGGTGACAGTTTGTTCTTGAATGTGTCTCTTTATTGAACTTATCGTACTCTAGAGTCTTAATAATTTAAACTTGACTCTTTAAATCAGCTTGCTGTTCAAAACATGGGTCATTCTCTGCATGTGTATCTGTGTGTGTGAATAATCCAAAGTATTTGATGACTGTTCTTAGCAAGTAACATCCAAAATGTACCATGATGTTTCTTATATGGAAATATATTTTACAGGTCTCACAGGTGCAACAACTGACTAGTGACTATATTTGGATTATGCTAAATTGCTAATATCACTAGATGGTGAGATTGTCATTTTCTTCCTTTAGACTGTTTTGAGTATCATTCCCATGAGGTGCTTGTGGATTCCTTGAATGAGTGAGTACCGGCTTTATCTGAAAATAGAAAGCATATCGACTTCTTCACATTGGAATACAAGAACTGAAATTGTCATCTACTTTCTAAACCCCGTGAGCTAATTAGATTCCTGAAACCTGTTTTTTCATGATTTAGATTACATACAGAAGTAAGGCCTTGGGGGTTTGTCCATACATGTACATTATATTCGTTAATTCATCAATAGGATTACTAGGATTCTTGTGCACTAAAACTGTAGCTGTACTATTATTTTTGGGTTTCTCTGTTGACACTTGGATTGTACAGTCCGGCCTGAAATGCCGGCAAAAGATAACCCTCCACCATGTCCTGTATATGCTGATATTGATCATTTAAGAACCATGAAATGAAATTTAAGGATATCATACCGAGAACAACGGACTGAAAATATCGGCAAACAAAATTTATATCTTGTAAAACAGAACTTTTTGTTTCTATAGTTAAACATATCTCTTAATTCTGCTTTTGCTCTTTCTACTTCTTGCTTACCCGTATCACCCACGGATGGGTCTTTCTTTCTCTCTTTTTTTATGTTCTTGTTCGTGCCATGATAACTGTTTTTTTAAATAAATAAATAAATAAAGCGATTCCTTAGATACAAATTGTTATTTTGGAGAGGAACGAAATTATTATTAAAATTAAAATGAAACCAAATTTAATACAGTTTTATATGACATTTTATTTATCAGTGACACATTTTCTTTCACGTTGCAAATTGATATATGACAGTTTTAAAAAAGTTAAAAAAAGTACAAACTACATATGACATTAAATTAATATCATAAATTTGAGGGTTTTAATCTTAAAAATAATTTACATTTAAGGAATTTATATGTATAATAAAAACAAAACTAAGGAGGACGTTAAAGAAGAAAGGGGACTATGGATGATACTCAAAGGGAGAGAAGGAGAAAATAAGAAATTACGTTCAATTAATCTCATAAATATTAAAACCAAAACATTAATTAAATAAAAAACACATTAAAAAATAAAAATAAAAATAACTTAAATATATATATCAAATAATAACAAATTAAAAGATGTTATAAAAGATTCTGTGGGACTGGAGAAGAATTTTGTCGTTAATCTAAAAGTAAATTGTAATTTGAAAATTAATGAAATTACAAAAAATTTCTCTGTTTTTATATTTTTATAATAATAGGAGAATTTGAAAAGTATTGCAGTGACACCTCCACATGTTATGTATAAATTTATGGAGGTGACTAATGTAATTTAAATCAAAAGATGGACAACCTCGTAAATATGAAAAGGTTCATGGTCAAATTTTCAGTGTATTTCTTTCTCCCAATCTTTCTTGATAACAATCCAGCGGCAACATCATATTCTCAGACATATTTATAGTTATCTCCACTGTTGTAGCCATCTTTCTTACTCCACCTTCTCTCCCTCATCCAACTGGGTTAGGGTTAGGGTTAGTTATTAGAAGTAGAATTAGGGTTAGGGTTAGTTTCCTCTCCGGCGTAAAATGTGACACTTCCAAAACCCCAAATTCTATCATCCCACCACCAACAATGTACGATCCCATGAACCAGATCGTTCCCGCCGAAGACAACGACGCCTCCGACCAACACATCCATTACAGCTCCCACAGTATAGAAGACGTTGGCGCCATCGTCGAACACGTTTCCTCCGACTCCCTTTACGTTCCACCCCCTGAAATCTCTATCCACGATTCTAGCCAGCTCACGCTCTCGTTTCGGGGCCAAGTCTATGTCTTCGATGCCGTCACACCTGATAAGGCAGTTTCTTGTTTTCTTCTGTTTGCACTCTTTTTCATTTAAATCGCTCTCTTTTGAAAATGAACTGAATTGTATTTCTTTTTCGTTGTTACGACGCCGTATCAGGTCCAAGCAGTTTTATTGCTCTTAGGGGGAAGTGAACTGACTTCGGGCTCGCAATGTGCGGAGGAACTATCCCCTCAAAATCATGCGGTACGTTTCATCGTAGAACTTGAAGCTCAGAGAATTTTAAGCCTTTATTGATAAACTTCTTGAAAATCACTTTTACGTGTAGAATTGAACCTCGATAAGATGGAGTAATCACCTTATTTTTTTGGAGAATTTAAAAGATAAAGCTTCTTTAGAAGTTAAAGGGTATAAGTTGATTTTAACTTATGGTGAAATTTATCCCATTAAAGCCTTTCTGAAGGTATTTTCTGGTTGTACGTTTATTGATGATGGGTTTAGGGTGCAGCAGAATTTCCTGCAAGATGCAGTCTACCACAGCGAGTAGCATCGTTGAATAGGTTCCGTCAGAAGAGGAAAGAGCGGTGCTTTGATAAGAAAGTTAGATATAGTGTACGTCAAGAAGTTGCACTCAGGTCTGAATCTGATAGTAAGCTTTCTACTTGCAGTTAGAATCTTGAGTTTAATTACCAAACTATTTACCTTTCTTTTCTTGAACCATTTTTCTTATACGTGTATTGTTGGGTATATTAAATTAGTTATTTGTATGGAAAATAGTTAAGAATAATTGCTTTGAAAAAAGTATCATTTCATCATGAATGTATAGGTTTTGTAGTTTTAGTTAGTGATGACATATTCTGAGGGATAGTTATTGATTAGATCGATTGGGCTAATATCAAAACTGCCATTATAAAGCAGCCAGCTGAACCGGTATTTTTTTATTTTTTGAGGGACTGGTTCCTGATTTATATTGACACTGTTATGCTATGCTGCAACAATAAATATTGATTCAAGAACATTAATTGTCAAAGAAACTGTTAAATATTTGACGGGTTTTATGAGAAGCATTGTTTTTCACACTCTGATTTTGCTTCTTTCTGTATAAATATAAGCGTGTTTTGGATTCTTGTACTTCACTCCTATCAGGAACCTGAATTTTCTTATTTAGGGCCTATTTTCTGTGCTTTCTTTTCAAGAAAAAACAGTTTATTGATAAAAGGAACTTTAAAAGTTATAATAATTGGATAAGTTTTACCTAAAAAAACGGTATTTTAGTGCTTTTCTCACGAGTTAAAAGTAGCAGCTTCTCAAAAAAGTTTTGAAGAGAAGTTATGTCATCATTAATCTGTTCTTCAAAGTTGAAACAAGTGTACCTGTGTTGAGATATATGCCAAATCAATTCTATTATTCCTCTTTAAATGCATGGTTTACATGAAGGTATTCTAAAATATTAGGATTGAAAGGATTTTTGTTTGCAGTTATCTTACATGTCTACTGGTAGAAGCATCCAATATGACATGCAAGTACAATGGATTTTTAGTAAGAATATTAGATTTTTTTATACAAAACCATTCACGCAAAACATAGGGGATATATGTCATACTGAGATATATGAATTATGTTATATTGTGAAGTATTGGTGCTGTCAAATTAGTGCTATCAAATTCTGAAGCTCTCATCTTTTGAAGGACTATTGAACATCGTCATTGTTCACATTTTATTCTTATTGCTTACCGTTTTAGCTGTTTGACTTTATTTGCTTCAGTGCCTATATCTTACCTTATTTTTTAATGTGTAGGATGCATCGTAACAAGGGTCAATTTACTTCATCTAAGAAACAAGATGGAGCTAATAGTTGGGGTTCAGACCAAGAGTCAGGACAGGAGGCTGTTCAATCTGAAACCTCGTAAGTTTCTTAATGTTACTTATGCAATGTTTAAACATGAATATTTATTTCATCCCGATGTTATTCTGTGACTGACTGGTTTCTAGTGATTAAATTTGAGTCTTGAGACATGCCTTTTGATGTTTTACTATCTCTTGTATTTTATGATTATCAATGTATAGTTGTACGCATTGTGGAACAAGTTCAAAATCCACTCCAATGATGCGAAGGGGGCCCTCTGGTCCAAGGTCACTTTGCAATGCTTGCGGGCTTTTTTGGGCAAACAGGGTAAGCATTTCTTAATATGATTTGTAACCTTTTTTTTGGGCAGGGGATACCTGGCTCATCTTGTTTTCTATTTTTTAGTATGTATACATTCATTTAGTCTAATTGACTTGAAAAAAACATAGACAAAAAAGAAGTATCATTTGGCTCTCTTTAGATCTCCTTCCCATTCTTTCATCTATTACCTGAATGCTATGGGTTAAAACCCTTGGTAGTTTATGACATCTCTATTATTAATTAGAGATTGGCCTGTTCACTTGTGGGGTGGACGAACCACTCTTTCGTGCCAGATTGGATTTGTAGGAGCAAGTCCCATATCAGCTGGAGGTGAGACATAAATCATTTAAAGCAGAGGCTCTCCCTCATTAGACTGTTATGACATAAGAGTGGACTCTGCATCAAGTCATATTCTCGTACACAGAATTCTCCAATATTCTTCTCTATTGAAAATGCTTAACAGATTTGGGAATTATCTAAGTTGGTTGTTTAATTTTGCAAAGACATTGAAGACCCCTATACATGATTCTTATATTCAGTTTTTTTATGTTTCTTCCGGTAAATTATTTTATTTGATATTTTCTTGTACTGAATCTGATTATCAAAATCTCGGGATGTTCTGTTTATCAGTTTGCTACCATAGTATCGTACTATTTCCTT